AGTGGCACTCTCCGACATAGTCGACTGGCCAAGAATCGAAGCCGTTGATGAGTTTAGACTACGTACCGGACACGATTGCTTGGCAAAACACCTTCACAGATTGGGCGTATGCACTCAACCCACATGCCCTCTATGTAACCTACAGGTGGAAATGGAGAAGACCCACCTGATTCGGTGTCCAGCCCTAAAGACAAGGACGGAAAGCCAGAGATACTGGGAAGCACGAAGACGGCTAATGAACTGCTATTAATTAATTGCTATATATGTACCCCCCACCCATGGGGGAAGCTGAAGTCAAAGTTTAAGGGCTAATGATAAATAGCATAAAGCCTGCCATTTGAAATAATAATAATAACATCCAAATAAGCACTTTCTTGACATACTAAATTGGTGATCAGTTGATGGTTACCCTTGGCTCATGCAGAAAAACCTCGTCGTATACGTTCTAATCCCTGTTGGCAATGTTTCAAAGTCATGAAATCGTATGCAAAGTCCCCCAAATCCCTACTTTCTTCTCTTCATTTTTCTTCAAAATCTGAATTAATCATCTCATTTATGATTAATAAGTAGTTCGGTCAACGTTGAAAATGCCCACATTTTGATGGCACGCACTATTTGGTGTCGACTTATTTCCTGGAAAGATGCCACAGTAGCCTTTACTATAATCGGCAATGGCTGAATTCCCGCTCAAGGTACCCATGCTCTCATTTTCGCAAGCATCCAGGTTAAATTATATGAGAGAGAGACACAGGTTTGATTAGAGGGTACAACCTCGAAGCTGACACAACATGTACTAGGTAGCCAACAGCATATATGGGACATGTCTAGGACTGAAGGATTTATCAATGTTTCTTTCAATTTTTACCTATATCAACTTAATCTGGTTTGGTAAAAGTCATGTCTGCATTTCTTCACTGCGTTCAATCCACATATTTGTTCAATATTGGTTAATAATTTTCAATCGTCCCTTTTCCAATCATCCACAATTCAGCTTGTGAAGTCGAGGATATCTCGATCACACATCCGGTGATTGAGTCGCTTGCTTCTTGTGTTCTCCATCTTCTCTCCTTTCCCTTTCGAGTTTCCATTGTCATTGCAGAGTATAATTTGCCTATCTCTACTCTTCGGTTTCTGATTTCAAAACAGTGGTCCACAAGATCTTCATCGTTAGGAATTGTGATCTTTCCTTATCATATAACGATCTGGTTCTAAGAAATGAACGCTTGATCGTGGTCTCTTTGTTTAAGGAAGTGCAAATCAGCAGGGAACTGAGGAACCATTCCAGTTTTCCAAGTTAAAGTAGCTTCACGGAACGCCGTCACTCATATTCCCTCAGTTGCTTCCGTATTTAGATAAATTTCTTGAAACTAGTGGTACGCACTTGTTGTTCATTTTGCCTGTCTGCTCACTTTCCTTTTTCACTCAGTCAGATTTTTTATTTGTGCTTGATCACTTCACAGGGAAAGGGAGGATTCCAAGCGCAGAGAACGCGCCTGGGCTTCCATAAGCGAAACGGCGAAGCGCAATCCTCTCTACAGCCTCGTGATAAACGGTGGCGATGTCAACTCTTCATCTTCCCTTTCTGCTACCATGGACACCACTGCAAGCGGACCCTCGCCAAATAGCAGCAGGGAAATTATGGGAGACGCTCAGAGAAATGGCCTAGAAGAGGGTAGTTCAGTCACGGAAAATGATGAGGATGTTAGTGCCTCATTGCGTTCTCTCCAACGTGAGAGCGAAGAAGAGGTAAACTACTTAAATCTTATTCAGTAGCACTATTTTTATGGTATACAGGCTAATTGTTATTACTGGCATACTGATAGTGTCTTAAGTACTCGGACCTGATTTTCAATATACTTCGAATGTGAAACTGACTAATCTTAGTCGATTGATGACTCATTTTTGGCTCCTAGCCATTACGAGGACAATGCTTTTTATTCCCTATCAATCTTCACTGGGATAAAAAACATGATTTGTGAATTGAGATCTTCGAGTAGGGAAGAAGTCACGGACTAAGGAAAGAGAAAGTGACCTCAAAGGTTAATGAGTTTATGTGTTAGGCGGAATGTAGATGTAGTGAATGTTGCTCAGATTTGTTGGTAGTATACGCAGTTTGGGGTTGAAGGCAACTCCGTTAGATCAGATGCAAATAGTTGATAAATCAGATCAATCGGACCCCGTGAATTGACAACTTTATGTGTCTTGTACCAGTGCAGTTCGGGTTAACTTGTTCACCGAGGTCTTAAGGACACAAAGGAGTCTCGCATGGCCATCATGATTATTAAGGTCAAGCTGGTTCACTGTGGGAAATAATTTGAAAGTTTTCGCCATGGACTTAGTTAAAACTGGAATCGCTGGACGTTAAAAGGAAGGTGGTAATTTCTAGGTAACGTCAAAGTCTCCATTCTAAATGTTAGAAGTAGTTCGGTATTTTATCCCCCCTATTAAAAGCGGTTTTATAGAAATTTTTTCAACCATGAGTTTTTAACTGACCTCAGTTGTACGAAATATAATCATAATTGCGAATAAAATCTTGGATAGTGTTCTTGAATATTTGATGAGTAAACTGAGGTTGAAGGTGACGAGGGAAGAAAAGCATCCTGGAACCAAAATCTTTCTTTGATGTGTTCATACCTGATATGTCCATCTTCCTTCCTTGTTAATCCTAAGTAATGGTGGTAGTTTCAACCTTAAAGTATTGAAGTATTATGCTGACTATCTATGTGCTTTAGCTTCGCAACCTGGGTGGTGCGGGAAAAAGTACGTCCGCGCTTCCATTCCTAGTTCGTGAGAAAGAGAAATCGACGGCAGTTTCCCTCCGTCGAAAATCCGATCTCCCTCAAGACCAGGGAACAATCCGCACATTGGAACAACACCGACGACCTGATCAATTCCTTGCTACACAACCTGATCAATAGCCTCTTCCCTTCCCCTCATTTTTATTGATTCTCCCAACTCGATCAATTCCTTGTTGCATTTCCACGTCGTGTCTTCGTGTTTTTGTGTCCTCTAGTCGCTCCCACTCCCTTTACGCAGGGTCTTAAAAAACCCAATCCACCTTCCCCTTTATCCTGTTTGTGTAAATGAAGTTAAAAATGTGCCGCCTTTGACCTGCTTCCTTTTTTCCGTACTTTCGTTCTTCTTTTGTTCTCCTGCACTTTCTTGTTCCCACGCTCTTTGTGGTGAGTTGGAGTTTGGGTGTTATTACTACTGAAATAATTTCAGTAGTCCATTATGGGTAATTTGGATTTGGTCATTCGTTGAACATTCAGGTTACGTTCGTTTACCCCGCTCTTCATTATCTCTCTTTATCCTAATTAATCTTGTTTGCTTCTTATGTTACGTGCATTTGGCTCGCCTTTCTCTCTCTCTCTCCCGCCTCCCACCCCCTTTGTAGAGAAGGAGTAAGGCTGATTGAAAAATTTGCAGATGAGAGTTGGAATAAATTGTGAAATGAAAGATTCGAGGCATTTCTTTATCCTTGTATTTAGTACGTAATGTATGTCATATCACGGAAGGATTTCTTATCGCATAAAATATTCCCGACGAACAAGAAGACGATACCACTATTATATCTTGCGTAATAGAAGATCAATAGTTCACTTTAAACTAGTTTCTCAGATATAGCAAGTTGTACACGAGAGACTGCGAAATTCGTTAATAGGGGGAAACAGTGTTTCGCGTCTTCCGCAAACGCAATATCAATTTCACATGGATCTAAGATCAAACCGTGGCAATTTACAATATGACGAAGCCACTCCTCATTATTCGTATTCTGATGTTTTTGAACTGTGAAGCATGATTGTCTTTGATTGATGAGGAGCCAGTGCGGCTATAATGCCTGTAATAGAGACCTTAACTACAAATGCATCAATTGCACTTCAATTTCTAATTTTCCATAGTTCTGAGAAGGGAAGCGCCTGAACTCCTTACATAATACTAATCTCATACTGGATCAACAGAACCCTACTTACCAATCAAGCATTTCCTGCTTCTCTATAAATTAGAGTTCATTCGGAAGAACAGTCTTTATTTTGGCTTTGATCCCTAAATGTATTTGAGTGGTTGGTAGTCATTGCATCCATTCATTCGTTTGTCAATCTATCACTATTGCTACTAAGGGCTGGGTTCTAGGGCCTTCAAAATGGATTCTGTCAATGAAGCTAAAATCCCCGAATCAATCCCTCACATTTATTGATTCATTTTCTGCATACTAAATTTGGCTCAAGGTTGGCATATTTGTGCTTAATGCAATTAACTTTTCCAAACAAAAGCATTGGGAATAAAATTTGCATAATAAAATTAATTGTCGGAGGTCATCCTGCAGTCAATAGGAAAGTCTGGTTACTTGAAAACTGCGCATAGACTCCACCTGACTATTCCGAGACATAAATGCAGACGGGATAGTGTGTATCTGCGTTCCATCGAAATAGTAGATAGTATATGGAAGGTATTGCTTGAAATGGAAGTTGAAGAATGCGGTGGCCTTCACAGAACCACGTGGAGAAATAGGAAACCAAGCATGTCGCGATCTACTCTTCTTGTTTCCCACTGAGATCATCGTGACCTCCTCTCAGCTTTATACAATTAATAGTTATTGATCGACTTTTCCGCCTTTGTTACAGCTTGCACACTTCCACCATTTAACCTTTGAATTCATACATATAATCAAGGCTTACAGAAGTGTGATTTTTGAATCAAGCGACTCCAATTTTCAAAGTTTAACTGATTTCAAACTGTGTCAGATGGTAAAATTAAACATCACGTCTATATTTAATTATCAAAACTTCGTGTTTACTTGACTACCGCATATGCTAAAAGCACGTTGGAACTAAATCTTTTCATTATTCACAACTGTCAACCAGTTGAGAGCCTAATGGTTACCTAATCAAGCCAATAAAGGCCACCTAGGCATTCAACTGTATTCTGCGTACCACTAACAGGGTTTATAGATATGCAGTTTAATTGGAGAACCTAATCTCCTTATATCACTGATTTAATCCGACAAGTCAGCTATATCGCTAACCATATAAGTAGTATATGCACATGGCTTTTCTAATGTCGTTGCATTCTTGCCTCAGAAGTTATGTGAAATAGGGACACAAGGCGCTTATTTATTCTCGTTTTTATTTTTTAGAATTTATGGTGTTACCTTTGGAGTATAAATGAAAAAATATTCTGTTAACCCGGTGAAATTTATAACCCACACCCATTGTTGTAATTGTCGAAAGGAAAATAAGTCAGTTGAAAAATGAATTGAAATAAGCGAAGCAATTTGCGCTAAATACACAGTTTAAGTAGGTGTCTCCATTAAAACACACTCAACAGAATTTAACATTCAAGGAAGTGGCTCCGAGTTACTCAGGGATTCGAGTTGGGGGGGGGACCTGAAGTAGGAGAATTTCTGGCGCAATCCGGATCACTGGAACGAACATATCCGTTTGTCCATTGATTTTTCTAAATTTAAAAGCAGCAAAAAAATTTAGTGACGAAAGCTTTAAAACGTCGTTGTTTAAATTTTTGATTCAAAATTAAATCATTTTGAAATCATGTTTTATTAAATCTCTAATTTACCAATCTGAAATTATGAGTATTTTCCAAAAAATCTCGGTTTTCATTTTTTTTTTTAAGAAGGATAATAGTCATCATCATCTTCCTCGTGATTTTTGTAATCATACCAAGTGGTAGAACTTAATTGAATTTACCTATCGAATAGTAGCTCAAAGAATTTAATTTTTGTCATTGTCAGATGAAAGGGACGAGTTTCAAGTCGAACCTAATCTTTTCACCTCATACGATTATGCGTCCTCGACACTTTAGAAAATTTCAATTAAAACATCTTGTTTTAATGGAATGACAATCACTCTAATGCGAATATGATTTTATCCTAGGGGTTGTTATTATGAATTCTCAAATTTTGTAGACGTTAGATTTTGAGAGCACTCATTTTAAAGTTTCGATTTCGAATTCACTACCTGTTCATAGTTGTTTCGTAGATACAAAAAACAATTACGAAGACAGTTTGGAGATACCTATGTGTTCTATTTAGAGGAAATTGCTTTCTATTAATTAATCAATATGCATCTATCGAAGAGTACTAAGAAAACATCTTTTTGGAATCTGCTGTTATTGTTACATTTTGTTATGTGTGAAACATGTTTGTTTAAATTTATTTCATAGATTCCGCCTATCTTACCAACTAATTCAAAGTTGGAAATGGTGATATATGTAACCAATTTCCACATAAATATATAACCTTTCACTAATTGAAATAAAAATAACAGGCTAGTTTTTTTCCTGTACAACAATCGTACAACTTGGGAGGTATTAAAGTCATTAAATTATTTACGTCAATCTGGTCTAATACAGAAAGCCATAGAACTGAAGAAAGCATCCACCTATAAGAATAGACCAAGACATCTGAAAACACAATCTGCAAATATGAGAATAGACCAAAAACGCAATCTGGTCTAATTCAGAAAGCCATAGAACTGAAGCAAGCATTACAAATCGACGACAAACGAAAAAAAGCCTCTCTCTCCCCAGAACCCATTAGCAGACACTGATGTAGTGTGTTGCACCCAATTGCGTCTCTCCCCATGAACCCATTAGCAGACGTTGATGTAGTGTATTTCTACGATACGAATCGATGACAAACCAAAAAGCCTCTCTCTCCCCATGAACATATTGAGATGACAAACCAAAAAGCCTCTCTCTCCCCATGAAAATTAGCAGACACTGATGTAGTGTGTTGCGCCCAACTGCTTAACTTCAATCAAACACTCCTCCCGAGCAAATGCGCTCACTGGCCCTTTGTAATGTCAACTATCCTGCAGATCAATGGCTCAAGTCTTCATTGACTGGGTCATACATAGAAAGCCAAGCAAACGTTGGTGCAGGTGTCTATTCTGAACTGTTTTCTTTCTACGCAGCAGTTGGACATAATAGATCCGCTATTGAAGGAGAAATAGAAGCTATTAGGATGGCACTATGCCA